AGTTTCCAATATGATCTAAGGTCAATGACCTCAATGGTGGTGTCGGAATTAATGTTCAATATCATCCAAGGTCAATGGTCCCATTTTTGTGTCGTCAAATTACAATTTCACTGGCATACAAAGTCAATAACTGCATTTACTCATTGATCCCATAAATTTTAAGGCCATCCGAGTGTATTAGCTTCATAAATTTTCAAGGTTATCCGAGGGAATTGATCTCATTATTTGTAGTGTCAAATTACATTTTCAAGGTTATCCCGAGGTCATTGGCCTACATTCCTAACCCAATTTTGTTGAGTGTTGTTCTCTGTTAGTAGCCTTGTGGCGATCTTGGACAGTAGGTCAAGGTCATGGCCAAAGACACTCGCACGCGCTCCCCGTTCGCCCCTGGTAGTAACCTTCAAGGATTCAATCAAAGGTCACTTCACGTTTCCTTTAATCCAAATGATCTGTATAAAAAAATCTTTGACAATAACTGAGAACGGAAAAACCGAAAATTTCAAATTTCGGTTTCATTTTCCCTAGTTTAAATGGCCGGAAATCGACGATTCTCGTTAGCGTCTTATATGGGCACTTTTTCTGGAGAATCTGAATCTGATATCAGCATTTCCATAACACGCTATATGTAGAAGCTGCAAGCTACTACTTCCTTATTTCTTATGGACGCCATATTGAATTTTTACGGAATTAGATATAGGATAAAAAAGCAAAATAATTACTTTTTTTCACTACTAGCGTCTGTTTATTAACCTTTTTTCTTGTAAAGTAAGCTATTTCGGCAGTTGTTCAAAGTGGTTAATAATGTGGACATTATTAAGTAGTAGTCAATAATGAAAATTTTAGAAAACACAACCCGAAATTTTGCTCGGTGCCTAACGTTTAGACAAGTCCTCTAAAATGAATAATTGCCACCATCCGTCATTTCCAGAGAAATTACCGACATAAAAATATCACATTTTGAAAAAATTGGAAGGAAATTATTCGTACTTTCTTGATTGACATGTTAAATTAATAAACAAAACATTCACAGATTTCGCAATCCTTGCAACCATCGGAGACATTGGAAATGATAACCGTATAACGCCATATGTGAAACACAAATAACCCTTATTCACCCGGGATCACTTAATGAGAAATGAGAAATATTGGTTGGGGAACACCACATCTTGTGTTATTAATATTTCAACCCAATTCGAGATTATGGGATAAGGGATTCTGAACGTTTGGTTTACTTGTTTCGCCCTCTATCTCATTCCGTGAAATCCAATATGGCGTCCATAAGAAATAAGAAAGTAGTAAAGTAAATAACCTGTAGCTTCTACATCCAGTAGCGAGGAGCGTATTAAGGAAATTCTGATAACAGATTCAGATCACAGGAAAAAGTGCCTATCGAAGGTGGTAACGGGAACCGTCCACTGTCGTTTAAGCTAGGGAAAATGAAAACGAAATTTCACACTTGCAGTTTTTCGATACCTCAGTTATTTCCAAAGATTTTCCAACAATTTCAAATGCGTTTTTTTAGTCTCAAAAAGGAGAACTTGGCCCGCAAACCTACATTGTATCTCTCACCGTTACGAAGATCCCAATGGTAAGTGAGCCACGAATTTGAACCACCCAACTATACTGTAAACCCCCATTCCAGATAAACTTTCCGCAATGAAGTTATTGGGTAAACTTGATAATAAAAAGATTGAGGCTTTTTTCTATTCCAAATGCCAATTGCCAAAGAAATACTTGGAACCATTTTTTGGTAAAGTGTTGAAGTTTTGATTCTAGTTCCGGATCCCCTCAAGAGTTCTCAAAGTTTCTTCAATAGGATAACTTATAATAGGAAAAATATTAAGGATTTTTACAATCTACCTATAGGACTTTTTTAACCTTTTTATTTTGGTAGAATTTTAAGGTGCTGTATTGTGCCGGATGGCCTTTTTACACTGACGTTTTAACAACGATTTACCTATGATATTTTATATCTCACGCGATTTTATAACATTTTCAAAGGAAATAAAGTTGAGAACACAAGTTATGCAACTATATCAATTATGATTTTATTGTAAAAGTTATCTTGTGTATTTAGTAAACCTGTAAACCATAGTCAATATTGGGATTTTTTATTTCATAATAAACAGATCACTTTTGAGTTGACACAATGAGGATCCCCCACAGCTTCATACGTATCCACGTATGAAGGTAGCCCCCAATATTTTCAAAATTGGAATTTTATGACTGAATTGTCAGAACTCTATGTTTATGAAGAACAGGGAGTCCACTATCTTTCATTAAAATTGCAAAATTTTGTAAATGATGATGGGCGAATTTGACCTAACCGTAGGATTGCAACGGGGAGTTACTTAAGGATTCATTCGTGGGCCTCATCTGTTTATGTTTTGCATTACGCCATTATAGAAACACCACTAATGGCAAAAATCCCGTAAAGGGCAACGAAACGCAAATATTATAAAATACGGAAAGTCGTAGCAACATTGCGGTTGAATTCTCAAAGCGGGCGGATGTGTGCAGCCGCAACGGTTGAACTCCTGATTACGAATTCAGAAATATGATTATGAGCGTTATTAAGAAAAAACAACTTGTCAGAAGGATTGAATTATTTTCGCATGTTTAACAATTCTAATGTTGGCATTATGTAAATCAGTAGAAATTAACTATCACCGGCGATCTTAAATCTAAAATAATGTAATATTCATTAAAACAATTTGTTCGTTCTAAATTTCGAAATGCGCGAAGAGAAATAAATTAAGTGGGTAAACTATGCAATCAGGCGATGTAAAAGATTCAATTCCCATTTTGGTTTAAACGAAAGCCAACTGTTACATTAATTTCCTAATAAGAACATAACTAAGAGAATTTTCCTTGTGAAGTTATGGTATGAATCACGGTGTTACAGATCCATTTTGGGGTCAAGTTTGAAGATAAATATAATTGGACATTAACCTTCCTCAATGTGCACATGTCACATGTGTCCAAATGCTTTATTTAGCATTTGTCTTGGCGAGGGATTGGTTCGTAATACTTTTATAGTGAATTGGTTAGGTGTAGATTTACTTTCAATTATGGTCACAGTTACTGTTCCGAAAATGTCGGGCTACCTACGGATATGGTATCATCATAAAAGTCACTCATTTCTCGTTCATCAAACAGCTCTGATGCTTGATATGCAACCAACAATGCGGTTCTCGAAATGATGTATTTCAGCAGTGTATGGCGAGGTTCTGAAAACTACTAAGATGTACGAGGTTTTCTGGTGACTCAAAATAAGGTTTCTAATGCATGTAGGATGTTATCGTAAAAGATCTTAGAAAGTTTCTAAACGAATTCTAAGATTTAAAAAGATGAAAATTTCAAGGACCATTTCAACGATGTGGGAAACAGACAATTTTTAAGAACATATTTCTAAACAATTCTGCCAAGATTTCGAAAGAGAGAAGTTTGCAAAAAAAGGTGGATGAAGGTTTTTCCAAAAAGATCTCTTCAACATTTTGTAGCTAGGTTTTCAGAAAGATTTAAAGGAAGTTTATGATTTCTACGAATCCTTAGCAGATTTTAACATTTCCAATATGAATTTCTAAGATGGCTTTAAAACTAGTTTAAAGGTTTTTAAGAGCTTCATAAGGACATATTTTTACTGAGAATAGGTGACACTAAAGGCAAACTTAGATTAATTATTTTGATTCTATTCCAGCAAATATTCTAGAAATCTAGAGCAACAACGGTTGCGCGGACACGGACGACTCGGCTCCGCGCAACTCGGCACCGGAATACTCGGCTTTCGGACGACTCGGCTCTGCCATAACTCGGCTTTAGGACTTTTCGACTCTGGGATTACTCGGTTCTGCGATGACGCGGCTCTGCTATAACTCCGTTTCAGGACTATTAGTCCTTGGTGGTAAAACAATTCGTAAAGTTGAAATTTGTATGTGCATAAAGAAGCCATACGAACGGAGGGTTTTTTTCAGAGCCGAATGATTCTCGAGGTGCCGGGTAATGCTAGAGCCGAGTTATCCCAAAGCCGAGGTATCCTAGAGGCGAGTAATTCCAGAGTCGAGTAATCAGATGAACAAGCATTTCAGAGCGTATTTTCTTGATGGTGAAGATAGTGAAAGCGCATCCGGGAGAGATTACGCGTTAAACCACGAGAGCATCGTGTTGCGCGGTCAAAAAGTTAATTAAACTAATTAATTGATTGAACCAATTGCCGCCAAAGGTATAGCGGTGCAATACCTTTTTACAAATGTTAAGCAGCGTGGTGAATCAGTTAAAACAGAAAGGAAAATACACAATACGAAGCAATCTAAATCAACCATCCGTAAATTTTGTGTGTTTGAGGAAGAGATATAAAAAATTCATTTAATCAATCCAAAGAACTTTTTTTGCATGCAGTGTGTTTTTGGGTCGCTAAAGAACTGTAAAGTACTGTCGTACCAGAGATCAAGCGATCAGCGATCACAATTTGTTGCGTAAATTCGAGGCGAGTAGTTTAATATACGTACTGCATGAAATCGAACTGTAGGAGTGGACGTGAAATAAGTAGGTAAATCAAGTTCTGGACGTCACAAATAAAATAAATCGCGATTGCGGATAAGATCAACGTGAATTTGACTCGTGAATCCTAAATTTAAGAATCGGGACATAAACAGTATGGCGTAAATTGTACAATCACTTGAAAAGGTCCGAGAAAAAGCCTGCCTTTCCTTAAGAATTCCAAGGATTGAGCCAACTGATTTCTCCTGGTTCGACAGCAGCCCGTGATCGAGTCGAATACCTACCCATGAATGTTGATGTTTTTAATACCGTAAAATAAGGTAACGCATTTTGTTTATTTTTATGTTCAATCCATTACCGTGCCTTCAAGGGCAAGACGGAATTAAAACAGCATATGAATTATGATGCTTCTTCTGTCAAATTCCTGCGTAACTGCTTTCTATGGTAAAACAATCAAAGGTCATTGATTCAATATGATACTTTTTATTAATCTCTAAAAATTAAGACATTCGCATCATTTTGAACAAAACATATCTTAAATTTAACGACAAAGCGGCTGCCGCGAGTCCCGTTGCGTGATTTGAACATCCGAACGATATCGTATTCGCTGATCGAGAGCTTAATTTGTGGGTGTTCGCATGTTTGTAACATCCTTGCGCTGTTTTCCAGTTTATTATGGCTAGTGTCCAATTTTGTTGCAGAAACTCTATGTAGCCTTCCATCCCGCAAAGGGCAACTGCAATTTATGTATATTTATAAATATCAATACACTTAATTTAAAGATCATTTATTCCCGAAAAGATTCTCTTTAAATGCTATTGTAGACTATTGTAGGTATAAATAAATAAATTCGGGTTTAGTTTTACAGCGAAAATCTTATCCCACTAAAAACATTACAAATGTATCATTGCATCAACCAACCTTGTTCCAAAAATATGTCTTGTTGTGGAAAACCCAGGCCTTCATTTGTACGCGCTTCCCTTAGGATGAGTGCGCAATAGAGTTCTTTGTACCAACAGAAAGGCAAATAAGAGATTTTTATTTTAGAAAACTTAGGAAAATGATTATAACATGACATTTTTACTTATACCATTTTTCTCGGTATACTAGCAACTACATATTATTATAGTGTAAGTCACTATCATATTATTTATCATTTGTATGGTGATTAGATTCTAAAGTAGTCTGGTGCTGCGATGATCTGTTCACCTAGATCGTCTCTCTCAATAAATGTCTTGTAGCCCGTCAACAAAAATTGGATGGCAAATAAAAGTAAACAACGAAATTTCACCATAAATCGGAAATTTTCCATTTGTTAATGGACAAAATAAGCGGCGCTTTTTTAAACTGTCGCGTGTTGGTCCTTCCTTCCAACCTCCGCAATTGCCTACAAAAAGCTCGCGCTATTTATGAATAAGACCTTGGACGAATGGTGCAAAATCGAAACATTTGGATATCCCAAAACCACTAAAAAGGAAACCTATAGTATTTCTGGACAGCGAACCATGAACCAAATCTGCATTTGAAATTCGACGCGACGGGATAATTACATCGGACGACATTCAAGGAGATATGTTATTGACTAAATCTTTATTATTTCCGTTTTGTGCCAATTATCGGTGAATTAAATTATCCTCGTATGGTTTCGTAGGCCTTAATCAATGTTATTTAATGATTTGAATGTGCTTTTTACAAATACTCGTTACATTGTTTACTACGATAAATTTAATTATCTGACCAGTAGGGGACCAGATATTAATCCAGAACCGTATTCCAGATCCGATCGTTTATTAATTATTCTTGTACATTCCAGACAGATACGAGAATTACCTTTCCGTTTATTTTCCAGACAGTCAATAGCTTTTGGTTTAATTCATTTATTATTATTATTTTCACCAAACCTGTTAATTTTTGTTTAGTTTTGATTCCTTCGCCCATCTTACTTGCCTAGCTAGCCATCACAACAATTCGGGTAGGGAAATAGCTTGCCGATATCCGTTACCTAGTACCTACCGCAGTGATTTATTGGGTTCGTGTCTTAGGTCGGTAGACCTGACTCGAACACGAGTGATATAGTCCTCCGTGATAGCCCAAAGATCTATCTGCCTCCTTATAAGGGTTGTCTGAGTCGCTTATTTGGAAACCAGAAGGGTAGTACAACATCCGTTTTAAGGAAGAGTACGTGATTTACATCCCTGTGTAAGGGTTCAGTATCTAAAAGAACGACAACGTGAAAGCGTTCTTGATTTGCCACACTTCCGGAATAAGTTCACGGTTGTAATTAATTGATTCAGTTATACAGCTAATTAATCAATACGGCCCTAACGCAACCACTTGACGCACTACTGTAGCAGAGGAAAAGAACACTGGGATGGTTGAATTTTTTTTTATGCACATTCGACATTTGGCAGCAACAGTAGAACTGTTCACGATGTCTACAAACAGGCGCCGCCTCACCGGCGCCGTTCCACCAAAAGATGTAACGCAAGTTGCATAGATAAATAATAAATAAATTCTTTTTTCGTTGTTGTCGCACTCTGCTATTTTGCGTAGCTATCGATACACATAACACATGCACCAAGACACTTGCATGTGCTGCAAAAAGTGTAAGATTACTATAACCCCCCCCCCCCCCCTCCAAATTCCAGTGTATATCCTTATAGTTTCCAGTTTTGGAAGTGAACATAGGGTACGTACATACTTCAAACACTCACTTTTTTCTTGGTACGCCCCCCCCTCCCCCCACAAAGCTTTGTTGGTATTTGTGCGAAAAGTGGGCGAATTTCAACATTCCATTTGTTTCACTTAGGCTGAATTTAAAGTACGTGTCCAGGCATGATACTACAAGTAGTATCATGGTGTCCAGGCGCAATTTGCATAAAAGAACATGTATGATTTTGTAAAGTGTGTAGTATACTTCCTATCATGTTATATAAATTTAAGAAATTGGGGGGATCCACTTTCTTTTTGACATGCCGAATTTCAAATTTAAATTGCTAATTTTAATGAGCGAGAATTGTTTTCCTGTGCTTGACTGTTACATTATTGTGCTGATGCCAAATGGATTGGAACGGGGTAAAGCAGACTTTCAGAAAGAGAGGAAATCGTATCATTCAGTGAAGATTCCGATAAACCGACAGATCCTGCCACCTTCTATCACTAATGAAGAAAAATCTATCCCACAAATATACAAAACCGATGCTGCATGTGTATGTGTATTATTATGATCATGGACCATCTACGTTACACAGGAAACGCTTTTTTTGTATAACTTTTAAATTAAAGGTTATCGCTTTAGAATCTTAAATTAGACTGTTATAAATGCAGATGTAAAGCATGACTTTCGTTTCCAAAGATCATTACACTAGGATAACATCTGGTAACACAAACACGATTAGCGTCATCAGTTCTTGTCCGGAACTCTTCTCATGCACTCTCCTCAAATTAGTTCCGGTTCGTTTTAACTGTTTTTGTCAGTTTTGTACGTGGTAAAAAATTAGTTAGACGTCTAAATTTTATTATGTGTAAGTACATACTTACCACCTAGGTACCCATTGCAAAGCCAAAGCTACTACTACTTATGGCACCGTGCGGCCTCCCGTCCAACCGTACTTCCCCCTCCGCTGTCACAAATTGTGTACGCCACTGAAAATACAGGGTGTGTCAAAAAGTAGATTTTGATACCAAAGTTGATTTTTAAAATGGAACAGTATTTTTTTAAATCCATTTTCTGTGTCAAATTCTGCACATAATAAAAATAATTCGAAAGTGAATTTTAAAAAATACTGTTCCATTTTAAAAAATCAACTTTGGTATCAAATCTACGTTTTGGCGCATCTTGTATTTTGTCATTAGTGAAAGAGAAATTATGATAGACGTGCGCGAGTATTTTTTTTAACCCGCCACCAGATTTTTAAGAATTTGTTCCATATTTTAGCCGCTCACTGTATATTTGAATGAATCCTATTTCAACTAAAAATTTTGACTCAACAGGCTTTCATTTTGGCATCATGAAATAAGGTGGAATCGGAGGCAAGAGGGAATCTGCCACCAAGAAGCAGTCTCACAATTAGTAACGATGAAAAGACACAACTTATGGTATGCGTACGAACATACCTATGTGTCAGTACGTAGCCTACATCCATTCGGTTTCCAAACATGAACTCACTGCAGACCATGCTCACTTTGCAAGCACCATGTAAAAGTAAATTTATTAAAAGCTCAATTAAGCAATCGTCAGAAGACGTTCCAATGTATTCAGCAGTTTTTCCATTATCAAGTGTGCCGTACACACCCAAATCTTCCAATTGATTGTCTATACAAAAGTCTTTCAAAGTCCACAGCTGGGCATCCAACAGGAAATGCGCAACTAAAACAATCTCTGATTAGCTGATCTGAACACAATATGGCTTACCTACATAGCTCGTTTTTTGGCGAATATTCTGTTGTTGTCAATATTTTCTTGGACAGTCGTTGGCAGCGACTGATAAGAACTTCGACATCTCTCCTGGATTTTCCATGCAGTGAGCTGGTAAGTTGAGCTGAAAATACACTTTTAGAGAATCCAGGCATACAAAATTTAATATTATTGTGATTATATAGAATTTAGTTTTACTAAATTGTGATCCAAGAAGTATTACGTTCTTTTCATTCGTAATTTAAGTTTAATGTTCTTACCCTCGTTTATACAGGGTGTCCCTAAAAGGTCTGTACAACGCGCTACCAGGGGTTCTTGGTATTAAAATAGGACGATTTAACCCAACTTACCTCTATCCAAAAGTGCTTCGGTAAGGCGCTATCTACCGCCAAAGATTTTTTTTAAAAAATCGTTATTTTTATTTTATCGGAAAATGGTTTTGCCGATTAAAATGAAATTCGGGATCTGAATGTCTAATGTAAAAAGGGTCTTTGTGATATCATCGTTTTGATTGTAGTTGCTATGTAGGTGGTAAAATACTGACCATCCACATCTGAAGAGGTCTAAAACTTTTTAACTACTATTTTGACGGTTCTGAATGTTTAGACACTGATAGACAGTTTACTTGCAAGCATTTTTTGTCTCTTGATGAATATCGCTATCTGTGATGGTTTACGAAAAAAAAAAATTTAGGCATGATGAATGGCATGCACCATATATGCGATTGTTCCTCAAAAAATCAAAAGATGGCTGTGAAATCTTAGAGTGTCGTAACGTTTGTTTGTTGTTTCTTAAACTTTAACAATTTACGTTTTTTTTTTGCGACCATTTCCACGACAGTATCCAAACACTAATAGCATATCAGTTAACTCTACGTTACTGTATTGAAAGGCCATATTACAATTTTAACAATGAAATTTTAAGTCTTCAAGCAAAATGTAAATTGTTAAAGTTGAAGAAACAACAAACAAACGTTACGCCACTCTGTTTCACAGCCATCTTCTGATTTTTTTAGGAACAATCGCATGTATGGTGCATGCCATTCATCATGCCTAAATTTTTTTTTTTCGTAAACCATCACAGATAGCGATATTCATCAAGAGACAAAAAATGCTTGCAAGTAAACTGTCTATCAGTGTCTAAAAATTCAGAACCGTCAAAATAGTAGTTAAAAACTTTAGACCTCTTCAGATGTGGATGGTCAGTATTTTACCACCTACATAGCAACTACAATCAAAACGATGATATCACAAAGACCCTTTTTACATTAGATATTCAGATCCCGAATTTCATTTTAATCGGCAAAACCATTTTCCGATAAAATAAAAATAACGATTTTTTTTTTAAATCTTTGGCGGTAGATAGCGCCTTACCGAAGCACTTTTGGATAGAGGTAAGTTGGGTTAAATCGTCCTATTTTGATACAAAGAACCCATGGTAGCGCGTTGTACAGACCTTTTAGGGACACCCTGTATAGCAATGTGTATAACGAAAGTTTAACAATACAAATCAACAAACGAATACATAAACGAACAGTAATATAACTAACTAGAACTAATTCAACAAACATAAAAATTTATTCATATTTAAATGTGGGATTAAAATTATGAACAAACATTTTAATTCAACAATCATATTNAAATTCAAAATTTAGCAATTAGATATTCCCTTGGGGCATTTCCAACGAGTCCCGTCTGTGCTCTCAACGTGGAAGCGAATATTCTCCCGCTTGCTCTTCGCCGAAAGCAGTTAATAGTTAACTATTACCTGAAAGTACATCAAAATGATAAACACCCAAATTATAGATTACTTACCGATGCAACTAGACCTACACGGTTATATAAATCGCAAGGTGAAAGAGCAAGACAATTCATGGAGGAGCTACAGTTACAAGAGGATAACATTGTAGATTTCACAAAGGTGGCTGTCAAGCACTGTGTAAATGAGCGCTGGCAGGAGCAATGGGCGCGGGCCGATACATCTTTGAGAAGAATTAAACCAAACCTAGGACCACTTTTTTTACTTGACGTGGAACGTCTGCACTCGACAAAGTTGTATCGGCTCCGTTTGGGACACACTGCTCTCACGCATAGTTATTTGCTGAAGGGTGAGGCACCATCTTTGTGTAATAGATGTGGTATCAATTTAACACCAGAGCACATACTTTGTGTTTGTGTAAGATACCAAAATGAGCGTGACCTATTTAAAATTAGTGTGATATGGGAAACAAATTTTGCTAGTCAGGATCGCTGTAGAGGTGTGTTGGGATTCATGCGAAGCATTGGAATTTTAAATGATCTGTGATAATCTGTGATATTATGCGAGGCATTGGATTTTTGAATGAAATGTGATATTCTGTGATATTAGTATGTATGTATGTTGCTTAGTTCTTGTTCGTTGTACTTGTCTATATCTGTGTAAAAAGTAATAAAAATGGGTGATAGGCAAATGGCCTCAGCAGCCGAAGCCTTAGGTGGGGTTTTAGTGGGTATTCGCAACAAATGGGAGAGCCCCACACTACTCTGGAACTTCCTTCCTTCTAGAGTGTGCATAAGGAGCATTTCCCCACCTATACACAAAAAAAAAATAAAATAAAATAAAATATCTACGCAGTATGTAGTAGATACAATCAGTCCTCACCCTCGCTCTCCGCCCGGAATGGTCATAGTATTATTTTACATATACGCTGAACATGAATCGAAAATATTCCATTGGAGCTTCACTGGCGGTAGTCTAATACAGAACGTCCGAATAAAATGGTGCCGTAGAAATATATGCATAAACAAAAAGTAGTCAGAAGGGCAACTAAGAGGGCACAAAATAGTAAGTAGGTGTATAAATTTTAATAATTATTTTCAGATATTTTTGCTTGCCCTTGACAGAAATAATCAAAACAATGCAATGGATATGAACAAATATAAAGAAAAACTAAAGCAAACGGATTATGTACCTACTTACCTTCAGCCAAAGTAAGTGCCAAAGATACATCGAAATTCATTTGATGGTGGTAGTCAGTAGTGGCTTATAAAGTTAAGAACATGAGTAAGAGATAGTATTATTATTATTATTATTATTTTTTTTTTTTTTTTTTTTTTTTTGTAGGGTTCAACTACTAAGGTCATATCCCCTTTAATTCACTAAGCATATTATATATCAGCGTATATATTAATCATTTTCAAAAATCTCACCATCTTCATTGCATTTTCAGGGTTTATAAAATTGTCGATGTAGTTGGGCAGTATACCGTTTATCAATCGCTCGTTATTGTATAGTGGGCAATGGCTTATAATATGAGTAACCGTGATGGCCGTATTGCAGTGATTACATTGTCTTGGTACAGTATTCTTTAGCAGATGTTCGTGTGTGACCTTAGTGTGTCCTATCCTCAGACGGTGCATTTTCACGTTGTCCTCTCTCGAAGCATCTTGTAGCGTGTATAGTGTCGTTGGAATAGGTTTTATCTGCGACAGGTGAGTATTTACCTGTGCCCATTTTTCTTGCCATTCTGCAACATATTGCTCTTTTAGGTGTCTTCTGATGTCACTTGCCACCATGAAATTTACATCTGTCTGCTGGTTCGATATCGCTCTACGAGCGGCCTGGTCTGCTTGTTCGTTGCCAAAGATACCAACGTGGCTAGGGACCCAAATAAATTCGAGTGATTTACCTTGCTCCGAAATACGATGTATAGCAGACTGTAGCATGATGTTCATCGGATCTGTGTTGTAGATTTTCTTTAGCCCATTTAGGATATTCATACAGTCCGTAACAACTAAAAATCGGTTGTTTTCCATCATTGAACAGTATAGCACAGCCTGCCATAGGGCATACTGCTCTGCAAAGATGGGCGAAGAGTTTGTATTCAAGCTCCACTCGTATGCTACGCCCTCGGTGACTATAGCACTTCCCACCCCATACGCGTTCTTGGACCCATCCGTGTACACAGGTTGGTATGAGGGATATTCGTTAAGGAGGTTCTCGTATGCCTGCAGGTAAGTGGGTTGTTTTGTAATCTCTTTTTTGTAGCGCATTAGATCTTTTCTTATTTTTATTTCAGGTACCTTCCACGGGACAGTGTCCAGCATCATTTCATGGAGCGGCGCTGGAGGGACTATTCGGCGTTGCTCGAGATGTTCCTGGAATCTGATACAGGCAGGGCGGGTAATGGTAGGTTTCAGTCTGTACAACTGCATGTCTATGTTGAGTATCACCCTATTAGGATGTAATGGCAATGATGAAATTTTAGTCATATAGCTTGCAATTAGTTGTTTTCTTCTAGTGTCCAAGGGCGGTACTCCCGACTCACAATATAAGCTGTTCGTCGGACTGGTAGGAAAAGCTCCAAGACAGTACCTTATGGCTGTATTATGTATGCTGTTCAAGGTTGCAAGTGTCGATTTACGCGCGGACGAATACACTATGAACTCATCCCTTACTATTACGAGATTTAATCCTGCAATGCTTTCACTGAGAAAATTTCTATAACACAAATTTACTAACAAACATCTAAAAAGGAACATCATCGTCACATAATGCAGTTGGGCAAATCTACCTGCAGTGCAAATATTGACAAATACTAATAAATCTAGATAAACGGTCCTACTTGACTTTCAATTGACGCTCAATATCGGAAACGAAATTTTCCGGTACATTATTTTCCCTCATCTTTTGAACTTTCCGTTTAATAACGTTTTGTATGTTGATATTTCGAACCTCCTGTTCCATTCTCAAGGTATCTCCCTCTTGGAACTTTTGCTTAATTTGCAGTATCTTCTCTTTTTCCTTTTCGTTAATTTGCATCAGAAGTTCTTTGCGATGACGAATCGCAGCCTCTTTCTTCTCCCTCTTCTGTTGCAAGTCCTTTTCGAACAATTCCTGCTGCACGCGCGCAACTTTGTGAAACTCCTCTTCCTCTTTTTGAATCTCTATCGCTTGAAGCTTTCGGAGGTCTTCCATTTGGATTGCACGAGCCTTCTTAAGCGCGTCATCCATCTCTTTCTTTCTCCGAGCCTCTGCCTTTTGTTTCTCCCTCCATTGACGTTCGTACTCCTCCTGCCGGCGAAGAGCTTGAACTTCATCGTCCGCGGCCTGGGCCTGTTGCGCCTTCAGTTGGGCGTCTCGCAGACGAGCAATTTCGCGCTCTTTGGCCGCCTTAATTTCGGCCAGCTCCGCATCGCGGGCGGCCTGAGCTTCGGCTTTCTTGCGCGTGAACTCCTCTATACGCAAATTCGCGATGCGTTCCTCTTCTTTTTGAACTATTTTGAAGTGCTCGATCTTGGCGTTCGATTCGGCCAGGTCCTCTCGTATTTTCTTTTGCGCCAAATGCGTCTGCCGTATCTTCTCTGCGTCGTCTTGCTGCATCCTGATCATGGCCTTATTTATGTTCCGACATTCTTCTTCTTTGCGTTCCTCCTCCAGTAATTTCTGCACCTGGTTTTCGGAGATTTGCTGGGAGATAGCTTGCGCGTTCCGTTGACCCAGTTCCCTGCGGTATCGTTTCCGTTCTTCCTCCTCTTTCAGCTTCTTTTGGCGTTCCTGCTCCATCATACTATCAAGGCGACGTTCCTCTTCGTCCAGCTCTCTCTTCATCAAATCTTTTTCGACAAGTTGCTGTTGCCTGACGGCCAAACACTTAGCGGCTAGAATCATACTGGACGCGTTCTTCACCTCGTCCTCCTGTTCTTGCCGTAATTCATACGCACGTTGCAGGACGTACTGGTTTTTTTCTGCAGCCGCTCCTTCTTCCTTAGCCAATTTCGAATCCGGTTTCGCTCTTTGCTCTAGCTGCGATTTTTTTAACGATTCTTTACGCCTTTCGCAATCGGTTTGTATCTGAAGTTTCCTTTGCTGCGCTTCCTCTATCATGGCAAGTTTGTCCTTCTGAGTAAGTACATAGGCTGCTTTCTGTAACCTTTTGAATTCCGTGCTTGGCCATATCCCGGGTGTCTTAATGGGTTCGCGACTAGGTATAATTAGTTTCCTTATTTGATTTTTGCCAAATACCTGGATTACGGATTTATCTTGTAACTTGATGTGATTACATCTATGGTCGTTGACGTCCGCTTTACCATTTTTTTTAATCGAATGCATTCCAACAGTAAAAAATGTAAAAAAATACAACACAAAATGAAACACAAGTATTACAAAAAAAAGTAGTGATTAAACTGACATACCTACTGACAGAACTTTGACGTGGCCTGATGTTCCAAAAAAAAGAGATATGTGAGACACAGCCGTCTATACCTATAAAATTTACAAGCCATGCTGAGAAGTTTGGCAACGTTGTCCGAAAGTCAATCGGAGGGCCGATAAAAGTTTTAATCTTGTTGCTCTTGAAAAATTGCATTTTCTCTTCTGTGTTTCGGCTTGGTGGTTTTAATACCGAAGAAAGATACTTAGGCAGCTTACAGTTGTACATAATATATTTTATTCGTTTAGAAAAATGGATAGGTAATAACATTTTTATTTGACTTTAAAATTCGGAACGCTGTAAATTGGTAACTGCATCATAATGTGTTTTCCATGAGATCTTCTAAATTGGTGAACTTCTGTCGAAAGAGGTCGAGGATGAAGCACACGCTTGGGCACTTAATTTCAGCAAAAGGGCGTTAAAGTCGCTGTGCATCAGCGAGGTTTTATAACCGACTTCCGGGTGCGATTCGGAATGGCAGACTGTAAACTGGTCGCTACTCCAGTGGGTGTAGGTACGAAGCTTTTAAAGAGGGGGCCCCGTAGACTTCAAATTCCTGAACCGTGAACTCCTGGGAATAAGTCAGAAGGTTCCTACAGAAAATCGACTTGACATGTCCGTGCGAGAATACCTACTACTTGGGTTTTTGTCCGGCGATACCGGGCGACCACGTAGTGAGCTTGTGTATATACTTGAATAAATACAAATGCTTGTGTCCAGTAATGAGTAACCTGGTTTAGAGGTTATGACAACAAATCGATTTATTTCGTTTAGCAACTTCCCTGACTAATAATTTCTGTTGATTCAATACGAAGTAGCGCAAATCGTCGCAATTAAAACAGGTAAATAGGATTCTTACATTCAGAATACCTACACCTGAAATCTGTTAAGTTGAATTCGGAAATCGGCCCTACCTGCAGTGTTGCCATAATTCTCAGAACGGCTTGTAAATATAGATGGTTGTGTATGAGACTACCTTAGATCATATACATAGATATAACCTCCCATTTACTTTCAGTAAGGAGAATCTGTAATCATTTTGCACCGTAAGAAGTGAGATGTCCCAACCTTAGCAACATCCTGTGAATATGATTGGTAATACGAAGCACCCTATACATCATGTTAGTTACAAAAAGCTGCCAACCGAAATCTGGTGGGATTATAGAAAAAAGAAAGAGAGCGAAGATGAGATCGGATGAGATGAATGGAATTTCTCGGAAGACGACATGTGTTTGCCATTTTCAACACCTGCACTCTTAGTTTTCCTAGAAATGCGTGAAATGCAGGCAATGGCCGTTTCTCGAGGTGTGAAGGGATCAAGTGACAGCGTCGCTTGGGGAAGTTAATAAATGAATAAATACGACGTAGAGAATGTGTTCAGCGTCTTTTTCTTGTCTTTTTGTTATTTTGTTTATTGGGAATCGAGTTATTCTAGTTTATACGGGCCTTGGTGAACCAAACACTAACATGTTCACTCATTCCGAAACCAAACAACTCTAGCACACGTCTACAGGCACCCCACTGGGCGTGGGTAATCCTACCGTCCGGCGAGGCAAATTTAATATCTCTTAGTTTTGACTGATGTATGTGTTGTAATACCTGTGGAATGGCTCGATTCCATTTTGGTTAATCATAGCGTGTACCTAGTATTTACCCCTGGTTGTGCTAAATAGTTTTACTTTCAGGAGGGCCCCAAAACTGCTGTAGTACATTAGGTGATATCTGTAGGCTTTGACATGTACGTTTTTACTGCGACGGAGAGTTTCTAGGGTACGATCTTCTCTCGCGAGTCCTAGGGGATCGTGCCATTTGGCTTTAACAGGCTTTGGCCCCATCCAAATTGATATTAGTTTCAATATAATTTCAATCAGCTATTACTTTTGGTGTTCCTTACCCATAATCATAAAACGCCTTCAGCTCCTGCTTAGAACCAAGTTAACTACACAACGTAGGTGTCCTACATGACGATCAAGATCTTAGTGCACTCGGAGTGGCCACCGAGTGACAAATTCTCGCGGGAAACTTAAGCGAGAATATAAATAGGCAGCCATGTTAGTTTGGCGTCCCGCTACTACAGAATATGGTCAAATATTTCGGTGTGACTTGATATTGGCGTTAGCCCGCCAAGATAGTAGGAGGCTTAAGAGGCGCTTTCTTTCGATGATCCAAACGCGTTTGGATTGTCAAATCACGTTCTTTCGAAGTCGTGAACAAACTGAACATAAAAGTTTTATGATCACGAATTCCTAACCTATAAATGCAAGGATATATTTGCTCAAATGTTAGGTTAGTCAATATTTGTAACTGAAGAGGAGCATAATCGTGCAACTACTTCCACTTGTATTTAAATTATTTTCATAATCCAAACAAAAAATATGTAATTCGTATGCAAAAGTGTACTATGTAAACTTAACCATACTTTGATTTAAATTCGCGTGTTCTTTCGTAAAACGTGATCCTACGAATCAGTGCGGAATCGCGATCTTGAAATCATGATTGCGAAGTAGCCGAAAGAAAGCGCCTATGATCATTACAGTAGAACACCGTACATGCGCAATGCGCAATAATATCCGAATGTAAACAGCTGAAAACCATAGGCGGTTCAAGAATAGGGGTCTAAATCACAAATCATATATATTATGTGATATATATTATGTGATATACCCAGGTTTATCATATCATATCAGTTTACCAGGTATACATGATATGAGCCTTAAAAAGATATATCCCTGTAAATACAATGAATACGAAGCGGTAGTAAAATTGAAACAGTATGAATGTAAAATAAATTTACGGAAAAGCTCAATATTTAATACTTATCTACGAACAGTAAAAATGCAAAAGGCAAAAGATTTTGTTTCATAGCGCGTTTTCCATTTATCTAAACGTCCATTTCGAGTAGAGACAAACTGGACCATCGGAAAAATATGGGACCGGTGTCAATATTCAATTTTTTTAAGAGCGCTTCTTTTGAGATAAGGCGCAGCTCAATCAGGCGGGTTTTAAAGTTTTAAAGGTAAATCGTTAATTATGCTTATTTAATTGAGTACATCTCAACTCCAATATTCGTTAAGCTATAAGTTAATTTAAGCCCAAACGGCGATGTCAAGAATTCAAGATAGCACATTGCTTATCGGTGCTGTACGGCCCTCGATAAAATCGATTGTTAATTGCCTAACGAAGCTGAAATCTTAGCATCGACGTCATTTTCCCTATGCGGAAGGGCTGTCGGATGCTACAAACCTAATGATTTGTATTGTTATTTTGCTGTATCTTCCAAATTTTTTGCAGTGCGACATGTTCACAATTACAATTTCTTGAAATTTTCTTGAAACCTTTAATTTGGTTTGGACTCGCCTTATTTCCAAAGTTGTTCAGTTTTCTATTTAGTGGCGGCCATGAATCCCAATTACAGACTTTTTTCCAAGTGCTGGCCATAAAATCCTCCAATCGATCTGTATAACTCGATGCTACTTGGTCGCAGACAACGTATGATCTTTTCAGCTGTTAGAAGCTCATTGAATAACCCTTCTACAAGATTGCCAAATAGTAATCAAATCTGCTGTCATCAAACACCCTCCGTGTGCATTAAATTAGAGGCGATCTACATTTATTTTTACTCATAGCAACTGTAACTAAGTTACCAAACATTTGTAGAAGGGGGAATCGGGTTGTCATGAATATAATTGTGATACCTTAAACCATATTTTCTTTACATTTAAACTGTGTTTAATTATTATTGTTAAATTAAGGTAAGTATAAACATTTTTGGTATTTCTAAGCAAAACTATTATTAATGTAAAAAATTTTTATTTCTTGCCAAAATCTTTGCTTCGCTCCTCTCGAAAATTTTTAGTAACAGCTGCATTAGCCTGTCGATTTTCATTTTACTTTGTGCTCTTGCTTCTCACATTTTCTGTAACGGTACCGTATAGCTACCTATAACAAACAACTATGTAGTAGTTACTTATACGTTGTCTCTGCCGGTACCCCATCACTCTTTCAGTGTAGAGGTGGCTGATCTATAATTTTCTCTGTATTTCCTCTGCAAGTACCGATTGCCTCTTTCTTCTATTGTTATTTATCGCTTTATATTCAGTTTTAATTTATCGTCTTTTGTGCTTTCGTATTTAAATTGTTCGTTTGCCATTCCCATTACTGGTAATGTTCTCCACATCTCTACAGGGTGTTTTTTTGGGAGCTTTAGTTTCCGGGAAAGTGTAATAGGTATGTTTTTGAAACTTTTACTTAGGAGATACTCTGAAGACCGAATCGATGTAAAATATTTTCAAAATAGTCGCACATCCGGAAATACCGGAAGTAGCTTGTAACTTCTTTATTTTAAATAGCAACATTTTTTATTGCATTTTTGTATTCTACGTGAAATTTCAGTTATTTTGATACCCATATGTCGATATCTGCCATTTATGGTTTTTAATAAAGTCACTATATGTATATAGAAAGTACCGCAATCCATTGGGCTCATGTGTTAGAGAGAGAACGCATGATTTTTGCCCAAAAATGGCGGAAGTTACCAGATTTACCGAATTACCGGATTTAGTCGAGGACAAATCAATTAAACGTGCTGGTGTCGCTTTTTGCTACAAAGGACTATTGTTTTCACTTGTTCCGGCCCTTGTGTAACAATAACAGAAAAGGGATTAATCTCACTAGTAATAAAAAATAAACTGGTCTTAAACACAAACATTGGAACAAACATTCATAAAAGTGTACGATCTTACGTGGTGGAAATGTCTCTTTTATGTTATAGGTACGTAATACAAAAAACATTTTAAAGTTAGCTCTGTGGTAATTAAAAACCTTGTTCATCGCAATCCATAATAATATATTCATTCTATATTTCATCCTTTATTTATTTTTCTTTTACTACTTCTCACCGTGATTTCCACATTCTGTGTGGGATCTTTGGTTTTATTTGTAGCGTCTTCTATTGTTTGTTTGTTTGTACAGATTTTTCCGACTTACGTCCGTTACTTTTTGATTTTTTCACAAATGTTGTCCTTGATCACGTGATCACCTTTTTATTTTCCGGTGGCCATTCCATTATCATGTACTGTGCGTCGGTGTATGAGGTTCTCGTCATTCCTCACAATTTATTAGTCTCCTCACAATTTATTAGTTCCAATTTAGTTTACTTATGAGAAAAATGACCAATATTTAATTCCGCACTATGTAATGTTCAGAATAACTCTTATAACTCAAGGTTCTGACAGCCCACAAAAGCGCGAATTAACTGTCTTTAACCTACTTACTGGTTGCCGTTTTATTTATAATGTCAATAGCACCTCGTGTAAACAAATTAGGTGCACAACTTAAGTTAATAAACTGGTTTTTTAACGTAATTTGCCACTATAAATCTAGCGCAGTGAAACATGTTGCACCTTGGACCCCAACCCTTTCGTGGTAACAATTTATTTAAATGTGAGCACTTTAATCTGATAATGCACCGAAACGAAAATGTTCACTCGCGTATTAATACGGTAACAATTCGCAATATTCCACACATTTGTTACACAATTTGATAAACTCTTCCGAATTAGGTACTTCAAGAAATTAAGCTTAAGATACCGGCCTTTTTTTCTTACATACACCATTTGGTTAACTTGTAATGTCGACTGGTAACACATTTACAATGCACCCAGCACTAAATACCGTCGAATTTACTGTACATTTTTCGCTTGAAATCCTTCAACTTTTGCAATATAATATCACGTACGACTGCGCAGCTGTCAAATCTTTTCGTAAACCTCGACTTTCGGTTCGAACCTTATATTTACAATGAAATTTTACGCAATCGATCAGAAATGGCGTACACATCCTTGATAGCTTGGCAGATCTGGCGATCTATAAATTTTTGCGTTTCCATTACGTAGTTGTGACTCGAAGGTTTGGTTACGAATGCCGCTCTGCCACAAAATTTTTCATAGTTTATTCGCCGATTTGAAAAACCGAAACAGCCCTCCGGAGAAACCGGCTTCGGCTGCGTTTTTTCTGCATGGGTAAATATAGCGGAGAGTACCCCTTTTATGCTCCGTGGTGATGATTTTTAGAACCGGCAACACTGTAACATTTCGACTTTTATCCGCTTGAACCCTCGCCCTGATCTTAACTCGCTTTATTTTCTCGAATATTAGTTCTGTTCTGTTTCCTTATGAAGCGGTACACGTATAAAATTTCCTATACCGGTAATGTTCGATGATATAACATGTTAATACTCTTATTCAAAAAAATTATTCAAAAAAAATTAGTATAATTAGATCAATAACGTTAATCCAAATATCCTACATCAAAATAAAACAATTGAACGTGTACGTTTCTTATTAAACCTTGACAAAACGAAATCAGCAGTAAAATGGTTTTCATCGCAATGAATGTTCAAAATGTGATTATCAAATGAGCCTAACGAAAGTGTGCATTGCTATTATTATTTGTTTTCTGAAGTAAAAGCAATGGAATGCTATCTTATTATGGGAAATAAAATGTTAAACAACAATCATATAGTACAATTTTGTATACTATATTCCATACATAATGGGCACCCTGTACATATATGTATCTCAAAGTTACTTGATCATGTTTCCAGGAAACCTCATTAAATATTCTGACATATTTGTCAACTTGTGTGATTTTTTTCAGCAAGAAATTCACAAATGCCTTCCGAATTGCCCACAAAATCTAGAAAGGTGCGATTCGATAATGGAGCGCATACCACGTCAGAGTGTAATCACAAGATTGGCGGAAAATACATACACCATAAGCCTTCGCGGGCGTCGGAAGGCAAAGAAGTTACGAAAGTAGTGAACGGAACCGGGCTACGCGAATTGATCGTACCTTGCCCAGATCCCCTGGAACCCCCCGTAATCTGGCCCATTTCCGAATTCAATAGATTAAAGGCTCAATCACGTGTGTGGACCAAGGAAGACAAACTGCAACTAATCGAAGAGGCTCAGAGAAAAAATGAAGCGAGAAGAATCGAAAGCGAGAAGCGGGTGGAACAGTTGAGGAAGGCGCAATTGGAACAGCGCGCGAAACCTGGCTCCAAATTGTTTACGAACGAAGCGGATGCCGCAGATAAAAACTTGTACGTGCTTCAGCGCGCTTTTGAACTACGCCAAGAGCAGGAGGACGAAGTTAAGAACGCGAACGGAATCATTTTGGCGGCCAAATGTTTGGCAATTCGAAAAGCACAAATTGTCGAGAAGGAGTTACTGCATAAAGAACTCACTGAAGAAGAGCGCCGATTGGACGGCATGATGGAACAAGAACGACAAAAAGCTTTAAAAGCCGAGGAAGAACGAAAGGCACTGAGGCACGTCATTAACAAAAGGCACGTCGACGGTCTCTCGCAGCAGATTCGTGGGAACGAGGTTCAGAGAATGATTGAAGTAGAAAACAAGGAGGAAGAGAGTCGCAAAATTAACAAGGCAATGATCGCAATGCAACGCGAAGACGCCGAGAACTTGCGAAGAAAGAAATTAGAACAGGCCAAGGTGAGGGAAGAACTTCGTTTGGCCAACGAGAATATCGCTCAGTTCCGAATTTTACAAAAAGAAGAAGAACGCATAGCCACCTTACGAGTGCAGGAGTTCATGCGTAAAAAAGCGGAGCGCGAAGCGGCGCGTGACGCCGAGTTAGCCGAAATTCAAGCGGAGAAGAATCGCGAATTGTCACGATTGCAAGCGGCACAGCAAAAGGCGATGGACGAGCAGTCCGCCAAAGATGAACTGAACGCGCTGCGCACGCAGGAGGAAGTCGAACGCGAATGGAGGGAAAAAGAAAGAAAAGCTGCCGCCAAGCGGAAAGAGCAATTGGAGAATTTGAGGATCGGCAGGGAGCGCCAGGTCGAAGATATTCGCAGAACTCAAGCTTTAGAAATCCAAAAAGATCGAGAGGAGTTCTCAAAAATCGTTAGGGTGCAAAAGGAATTGTACGAAAAGGATTTGGAGAAACGGCGACGCATTAAAGAGGCCGCGATGCACCATCGCAAGGATTTGCTTAAGCAGGTGAACGAAAAGGAGTGCGAACGAATTGAACAGCTGAAGGAGAAGTTTAAGGAGGGCAAGGCTTTGCTGCTCGAAAAGGAAGTGCGCGAGTTAAATATACGCGGTGTAATTGAAAAGAAAATTAAGCGGATGAGAGACAATAACGTTCCAGAAGGAGTTGTTAGAGACATTGAGCGCCAGCTCAAATTAGGATAAGATGATATTGTTTATTTTTTATTTATTGTATAAACTGTGAAAAATATACCTTATATTGTTATTATCTGTTCCTACAGGTTTGCAAAACATGTGCATGCAGACCACCATTGCGTATTCTTGACTCTGTCGTTGGTCCATCAAACTAGCTATGTGTTTCACTTTAGATAGAAATCTAGTTTAACAGAAATGTGTCATAGGTAAGTATCCAAGAGGACGACACAGGAAGAACAAATTTTAATTCGGTTCGAAGAACCATCAATTTATTTACAGTTAATGAGATTCATCGGAGAAATGAAAAAATTCAGCGCAATGGTAGGTATCTATGGTATTACGTTGGTGAATCTTCGTTTAACTTCAAGTAACAAATTTACATACATTCCGCGTCTCAGTAACAGGAATCAAAATTTGAATTCGTCAGGTGCCGTATTCTGAGAACAAAAATCAAAACTTCCGCCAAAACTAACTGAAAACCATGGCACATAATCGTCAAATAACGCTTGTCTAGTGATAGGACCCACGTTGTGTTGTGAAACCAGTTGCTCGAGGATGTGTGTTTGTCACTCTAAGGATCGGCCAATTCATAAATAAAACGCCAGAAATGGGAAGAGTGAACTTTAATTAAAAACGTTAGGTAATAAGAAAAACAATAAAATTTAAATTCAAATTCCGAGACGCCCTCTCTTAACCACATGAAAGTAGCTCTAGGGACTTTATTAATTACAAGGGCGGAAAAAGAGCTATTGAAAACCCTCACTTACTTTTTCACCTCTTTTTCAATTTGCATTTTACAGTTTTACATTATAATAAATAGTTTTTTATTATACCTGAATCACAATCTCCGTTTTAAACACTCAAATGCGTGGGAAAAAGGGCCTTTAAAACACACGTGCTTTAAAGTTGCTAAGTAACGATACTTCAAGTATGACTTTTGAAACTGTCATCTGGATGAAATAAAAAATCCTCTTAGGTCGCTTTCTGTAAATGCAGAACATTTCTTTGGCTTTTGTACCTATCCTTTGGTTGAAGCTTTCACAAACCCGCGTAATTTAGGGTATACTTCCAAATCTGTTCCACTTTTTAATCGCAGCATTGCTTTAAAGTGTTGAATGAATGCACCAAAATATATAAGATTTAAATACCTTTGACATTTCCTTCATATATGCCAGCATTATGGATGCATTTAAGACTGTATTCGTAAGTAACTTCCTATTCATCCATGGAAACAACTTTTCATATTCTTTAATAGGCTTTACTGGAGTTGGATTTTACACCTACCAACGTTTGTTTAGAATTTACAACAATCGATTTAATGGACGGTGTATTATCTTTTTCAACGGAAATCGTTTAATTCACAAAGACGATGATTTTTATAAGAAAACGTCAAGTGACATTTCCATGGAAATCGTGAAGTTACGAACACCCAGCCCACTTAATTAGGCATGTATTCGAGTATAACGTCAATATGACTTCATTGTATTTCCTATTTTTAAATTATACTGCAGGTATAATAAAAAATACTATAAGATACACGTGTTTAATTGGTCTTTAAAGCACTTGCAACGTTAAAGGCACTCCGCTTTGCGTCGTGCCCTTAAACTCGTTGCGCGTGCTTTAAAGACTTGATTATACACTTGTATCTTAATATACTATTTAACCCGTACGACAAGATCGGGAAATGGTATCTCCCTCATAATCGTGACTTTAGACAGATATTTAAAATATTGTGCCATTGTTATGTAATGGAGACCGAAATTCACACCAAGGGCTCACGGTACAAATATCAAGCGCCTCCCATTTTGGCCAGGACGTAACCTGTCTGATGGTAATAATATATAGGGGTATATGTTCAGGATTTGTGTTCAGGTGTCTGCCTTTAGCTAGAACATGACCTGTCTAATTGTAATAAAGAGTTAGAAGTTTCGAGATCCATTACATAAAAAATTTCAGAAAAAAAATTTCAAATAGTCAGAATGAGTCATGAAAAAGTATCACATTTGGAATTTGTGCAAAATAAGATTGTGGAAAAATACGACTGCGAAATTTAACAAAGCCACCTTCCTGGGAGTTGTTAAAATATAAAATACATGTGTAAAATGACATAGCACTCTACCTACGCTACGTACACCGCATCTCCCAGATACTCTAAACGAAATTATCTAAACACTCTGTATATTAATCTCAAATGAAAGGTCCTCACACATATGGAAACTATGCATCGAAAACTATAATACACTAAAACTTGTTCCTACCTATTAATACCCTGTTCGTCAACCTTCCCTTAATAAATGAGTAATTTAACACCTAACGTCAAAGAAGGATAAAAATTATTTAAGCTAAAGTAATTTTCCTAAACTTATGATAGGTAGCAGCGTAGTACTCCCTAATAGCACAGATTACCTAGTATAGGGTAATATGTGCTAATAGGTAGTACAGACGCTTTCAGGTCGCATCAACAGCCGTCTGTGTGATCTAACGACAGTCGTGATATTATTGCCGGGACCACCAGCTTTAATCGTCTTCCGAAGCATGGCAGTCAGGAGATGTTCTGTACCACTGAAGACTGGCAAGTTGTGGGATTCGAACTCACCACCTGTGACGTTAGAGTCCGAGTCTTAATCCGTTATGCAAATGAAACTGCTGCGTATATGCGAAGGGATTAGGTATGTGGCATCCCTAACTAATACCTGCCTCTAAATACGACTCTATTTACGCCAACGGTACTGGTAGTTTTAATTTTGAAATCTTAAGACCATGTAATCAAAACATAACCATAAATCGAGCAAACAGCGATTTCAAACAATAAAAGTTACCTAACGTGATGCAGCATTGAGGTTAAATCGAGTCAATGTCAAAAATAAAGATGAAAAATTGTTTTTAAAAAAACATAAAATGTTGTATACAAAACACAAACAAATTATAAAGAAATACAAAGATTACTACCTGCATTCAATAACACAAAAAAGCAACAAACAACACTGCACGATGCTCCCTCGACGACAGCTCAAACCAAGATGGCCGTAACGTAAGAAGCGTTCGTGCTCTCGAAACGGCGCCACAGCTTTTCTTCTTCTTAAAAATCGCGGAGTTGCTAGCACTCAAAAATGTGTGCATCGTCGTAAATTATATACAGGATGGAACCTCTCAAGCTCCACAGCAATGAATTGAGCACTTAATTATTTTATAAAAAAATATTTGAAAAAACCCGTCTAGGCTTTACTTACCTTGTATCGTTTCGTTAATGACTCGCAATAGTCTTAAAGGGACGACCAGGGCCGAATGTCAATGTAGTTCTGAGAGCTCATGAACATTTTTTAACTTGATTTTCTCAGAAACTTGGTAATATGTTAAGTGAGTACTGAATTTAGTAAGCGTAGTCTGCAAGTGTTGGTGTGTATTTTCATCGCGGGCATAATATATAAAAATTAATATTGCTCGCGTTACTTCTGCTTGTCATTAATAGATGTCTCTGTTTTCGTTCAAGAAAATTCTTCTGTATTAACCACACACATTGACTCAACATTTCCACTAAGGCCCGGTTGTTCAATCATGGTTTAAACTGTAGATTAGCTTAAACTGGCGTTTAAAGCTGTAAGCTCAGTTTAATGCATTGCACCACTGCGGTTTAACGTTAAACTCGGTTTAGATTAGAGGTTTAACTAAACGGTGAAAGAGGGCCGTTTAACGGTCCTAAACCGTCAAACATAACCCCAAATACCTACATAATCAAACAAACGCGAAAACGTTATTCTTGTCATTTTGGGCTGTTGGTTTCATGGTTTGTTAATCAAGATGAACTACACGGATTTTGATAAGCCAATTACTGATGATGAAGGTTTTTTGGAGCTAATGCAGCCGTTTTTGGACGATGAAGAAGAACCTCTCATTCCAAGCAATTCCTCTATTTGCTCGTCTACATCCGTCGTTATTATTTTCTTCGCTGGCCCTTCCCCAGTAGCATTTAAATATCTCTTTTTATTTGCAAATTTTTTCTTTAAAACCTTTTTTTGCTTCTGAGTGTTTTCGCATCCCTTCCTTGACCTCCTGCAGCATTAAACTCCTCAGCCTCATGCAGCGTCTTTGATGCGGTTATTAAGAACGTCGGTTTTTTTACACTCTATTGTTGCTCGAAACTTTTTGACGAGCTGCAGAAGCATCGCATTGTTGGATTGAAGTTTACAGATCGTGGTCGCTTCCGTACTAAATCACCATTCTCCATTTCCAAACGGTGTTACTAGCCATGATTAATTACACAAAAAATACAGACACTATTTCAATCACGAACAAAACAACATACACGCTTGTAAACAAACCAAATTTGAAGTTTGAATAGCGTAAACGTCAAAATTTGAGCGGATTACAGTGTTGCCACCAATAGAAATTTCATTAAACGCAGTTTAAACTCTCCCTAAACTGCGAATGAGCAACGCAATAAAAGATAAACTGTGGATTATCTTAAACTACAGATTACTTAATCTGCAGTTTAAACCGTGATTGAACAACCGGCCCTAAGTCATATATTATATCTATATGCCCAAAGTCAAAAGGTCCACCGATAAGCGGGCAGTCGATCAATTGCAAAAGAAATCTGTAGGTTTCAGTTTGTTTAAAGCGACATCTCTGTACTCGTGGCTATACTAAAATGATATACTTTTTAGTTCATATAATTGACACTTCAAGTTTTCAATGAAAAAGCATACTAATGGCTTCGATCAGAAAGTGTGGATTTCAGTTCCCCTTATCATCCTGAAGACATTTAAAAAAATTTAGCTTTGTATCTATATGTGACCACTTATTTTTATTGTATCTTTTTACCGACGCCCGCGTTAAACACACTAACATCCGACGAGTAGATTACGCTTACAACACTCAGTATTAAACTATTCAGATTCACACCTTCAACGTTTTGCAAAGTCTCAGCTTGGAGAAAATTTTTTCTATTAACATCTGTGCCCAGATTCTATTGAAGATAAATCTTGATAACAAGAGAACCAATCGCAATA